CATACTATCATGGTTAAACTTTTTAGTTAAATCTGCGGTTCACATCATGTGTGCTGAACACCATGCTGAAGAGCCATTCTGATCACAGATTAATTATGGTCTGCTTACACCACTAGTATGTTTATGAAATTTGTAGTGGTAAAGTTAGCCATTTATTGTAGGTGCTTGATAGTTGCTCTGCTACATGCAATGCTTGAGCTCAAGGAATACAAACAGGGTTCAACAGAACCAAAAAGCAGGCCAATGCATTTCTCCAGCTTACCAGTTAACATTAGCTGACTAGTCCAAGGCCAGTGACCTTGTTTTTTTTCTAAATCAGCGATATCAAGTTATTAATATGATCTCCGATAACGTTAAACTGTTACATGTTAAAAATAAATAAAAGCTTTGTTAAGTTATTCACATTTGTGCCATTTTCACCACATTTAACACATATTTTTGTCGCTATGATGGACCTTACAACTAATGATAAGGGGGAGTAAAATTAACACAAACTATGTGTGTGACGCAACTGATTATTGTTTAGTAATTTGTGAATTTGAACATAGGGACAGTTTACGCCCACTGTAGGCTACGATCGAACTTATGCTTAGCTGGTGAAACCGTATCCCTGCAGAACAAGTTATTAGGCCTGTCAGGAGGAAATATTCAGTTTTGCATGGTGCTTTACCTTCGGAAGTGTTAAGTATAAAAGAGGGAGATACAGGGGCCCAAATAAACAAAACTGCGAGAATATACTGTGCCTTAAATGTCAGTCTGTTGTTCCATTTGAGTGAGAATTTTCTGGAACTTGAAAAATAAAGCAGCAAGTACTGACAAATCAAATAATGACCACTTCATTTGTGGGGCCATTTGGGAGGTTTGTTCCATATTGTGCCTTGAAACAAATAAATCGGTCTTCGGTTTACACATAAAACACACTAACTTATGTGTGATCAGACCAGGTTTGTTGTATCGGCAACAAAAACAGGCACAGCACCATAAATTTAATGATGAGTAAGCAAGTGATGTATACTTGCACTTACCTGTGAATACACCAAAATATTTTGTCCACTTCAAAGTCACTCACAAGGTGTAGTTTTCAATGTGTATGATCACATCTAATAACATCCATTTTCTCTTTGTGTCTTTTGCTTGCATCCGGTACCTAAAGATGTACCTTTGGGTTAACTGTAGTTATGACTGTTGGCTGATTGACAGGCTCCCTGTCCAATCAATAACAAGCATATGATGATCAGTAGGTACATATTCCGCTAATATTGTAGCATTTTTGTATTTGCTGGTGTGTTTTCTCATTTGCTATTGCCTTTTTGTTTTTGCGGGCGTGTTTTCATATTTGCTGTTGTGTTTTTGTATTTGCTGGTGTTTTTTGCCCTTCGGTGCTTCCGTAGATGTCTGCACATGTCATGCATAAAAGTCTGTAAGCTAATGTGTGTGTGTGTGTGTGTGTGTGTGTGTGCGTGTGCGTGTGTGTGTCTTTCCCCACTCAGCCTTACTGTTTGGGTGGCTGCATGCCAGTCCAGAATGTACTTATACATTAAATTCTACTGCAGAGTTGCAGGCAAAACAGAATTATTGGTGTTTATCTATTTTAGTTTATATATGTATTTACATTCCCGTAAGTGTGAGTAATTATTTGGAGCTGCTTCTCACCTAGATTAGTTTTAGCATAGGTTAGAGTGTGTCATAAGAACAACGCCCTTCTTTTCTTGTGTTTTGAGAGCTTTGGTGCATGGGCTTTAAATTTAAGGTGAAGATGAGCTGTGCCTTCTGGATTTCCAGCTCCTACTAGGAAAGGGATTCCATTCCTGCCAACCTTCAGTGCTGCCATAGCAACAGATTCTACACGGATGCGAATTTTCACTGTTATTGTCAGTTGGCTCTGTTTATTTCCAGCATTAGACTGAAAGGCAAAATTTTTACTTCATAATTTTAGTATGATCAATTCCAACAGATTTTATTACATTTATGTAATATTTTGTACCCATTTACAACAGAAATAGCGTTTTTTATTCCAACTTGACTAAGACTAGGTAATGAATGCACTGTATCATTGTAGAGCGTAATACTCTGTAGTATTCAAATATTTAACACTTCCTTTGTATTACTTCCATTGTACATTTTCTACATAACGATATATAAGCAAGCCAAGATGGAATGAAAATAAGCCACCTGTCTATCTTTCAGCTTTCAAAGCCACATGACCAGTGCTATCCCAGGATGCACTGCCCGTCCCAGTAGGCAAACCACAGAGGCCCACACACAGTGTCATTTAGAGGCACAGATTTACAAAATCAGCATGTGGCGGGACTGTGGGCCGCAGCCCCCACAAACACAGGGAGAACATGCAGGCTGCATAGACTCAAGGCCGGCAAAGGAACCAAACATCAAACCCACAGCTCTGGAGGAGTGAGTCCTCAGTGCCACCCACATCATGAACTCCACAAGCAGCAATCAAAACACTTGGGTTACTTGTGAACCTCATATGTCTTTAAATATGTCAGTTGAGTATTATTTTCCTGAAAGATACATTTGTTTATTAAAGAAGTATCATTATAAATAACGGGAATATGGGTCATCATGCAGCCTGCTGAACGATAAAACAATATGACTGGGATCCATCAATTTTTTTATTTCAACCTGTTGCTTTATAAACACCTAAAAGCACTAAAACCTATTTCAATTATTTCTTATAAAGACAGGCAAATGCATGTTCCAAATGTGATTTGACACTGCATTCACAGATGTTAGTGGGGACCTGAAAACTTGTCCCCACAATGTCAAAAAACAAGTTTTTATTACATTGTGGGCGACATTTCATCCCCACAATGTAATATGAACCTAATCCTCACATACACACACACACACACACACACACACACACACACACACACACAGGCGTGTTGACGTGCAAAGGAATGCAGAGTAACATTTGTTGTTATAGTCACAAAGCCCAATAAGTAGGTGAAGCAGTCTCTGAAGTACAATCACCCAGACTGCTAATGGCCCACTCTAAATGATGATTGCACGGCTCCCTTTCACAGACCAGCACTGGCAAGATAACAACACAGAAACAGGTGCTATTTGTCAGGCGGCTCTGCTGGGTTGGACCACAGAATGTACCGTGGTACCACGCCACACCATTCCTCTTCTGCATTGGTGAGGTTACTGTGTCTCCTTAAAGCAGCTGCAGTGTAGCTTATGCTAACACTGCTTGTTAGGCTGTAGACAGAGACTAAAACCACATCCTGACCCTGTACAGAATTTTAACCATCTGGTAATGAAATGCCCAGTATCTCCCAAATAACTGGCGAGTATAACATGGTTCCTTTCATATAATAACATCACCATGTTATATAATGTCACCCTCTACAATTTCAATTAGAGAGATGATGTGCGTATCCTTACAGGACAACATATGTGGGGAGTGATTGCAGTGTTGAGTGTCACAACATTTCTTCACACGTGGAGCACTGCATGCAGTGTGACTCCCCTGGCAAGCATATGGGTGGCTCTGCCCTTGACATGAACTCACCTGGGTGATGGGCAGATATCAGTATTTCTTTGGTGAATGCGACTTTGAGCAGAGATCATTCAACGGATGCTTTGCTCACCCAAGAAGAAAGACTGGAAATAAACCATGTCTGCAGAAATAGCTAATGAATATCTAGCCAGAAGATGGACTGCATATGAACTTAGCATAAGGTTCATGGTCGGTAGTATAACAGACTAATGTGTACATTATTGCTGCTGTGATGGATATGAAAAGCATATAATACCTGAATGTTTAAGATAATGTCTCTATAAAATCATTGGGAATACTTTGTTGATGAGTTCTCACCCGTGAGGAATAAAGACACACTAATGTCACTTGGCTTGCTTACTCAGCTCATGCTCAGGTCCATTCCCATTGCTTTCCTTCATGTAAGCATTTAGGCTTGTGTACTCTGCGAGATGCACTACCAAGTGTGCCATGAAGGAAAGCCATGGGACTTGCCAGTAGTAGCAGAAGGTTCCTTGTCAACACACAGGCATAGCAAATGTACCACATCGTTGCGTCATTTCGGATCACAAGCCACAGGAATGTAAATTAAAAAGGGCATGAAAAAAGTTATTGTTACAATTTGAAGGCTTCTTTTGACAGTAGCCCTAAATCCTTTAACAATCCCTTGTTCCAAGTGAATCATCCCCCAGGACAATGAGCCTTCGAAGGAACTTTCTAACTAATTTCACGCCTCCAGAAGCACCAGAGCAAGGCCTGATAATTATGCCTCAGTTTATAGATAACATGATTAATTAACTTGCACTGAGTGATTAAACTGTGATTAACAAGTCTTGGTTATCGCTTTTGGGGAAAAAACAGCTAGCAATTCTGTTAAGACTTTGGAAAGTTTAAGCAGTTCACTTTTGCACTATTTTCATCCCATATTATTATTAAAATTATAAGGCTGCAGTTTCATTACTGCAAAATCAACAGATGAACTAATTGCATTAAAATATATTTTCCATTGACTATCAAGGTAAATGGAGCTGCTCACCAATTTAATGGGTCTACACATTTGCATTTCTTAACAACCCACTCACGTTAGAACACTTTTCATTAACATATTTGTGCAACATTAATAAAAAAAGATTATTATTAAATATGCAGAGATTTGTCTTGGCTGCTTTATCTCCCATTTATATACTCACATGATAGCATATAATCGCATGGTTTGGGAATAAAATATCATGCAATCTAACGTATGTCTTTTAGAATGAGTCTCTCTTCCGTGCTACGTTTTTGCTTGGATATGAAAATCCAGGGGCATTTAAAACCTTCCTGTGAAAATCTGCCTGTAACAGCTGGAGGTTCCGTTTACATACAGGGGATTTTCCATTCACGCTGCAGCTGTTTTAAACTGAGCTGTCGGGGCTCATTTTTCGTAGAAATGCAACTGTCCAGGACACCTGTGGTTGTTTCTTTTCAGTATCAACCCCCCGCTTCTCTCCCCCTCCAGCCATAAGACTAAATCGTCTGGGTGCCCCCCTCCTTCTGGGACCTGGAGCCCCTCTCGGGGGCACCCCTATGGTTGGGACCCAGCCTTTGGCAGAGAGTGGAGAGACTGCTTCGTCAAGTAAGTCGGGGGGCGGGGGCGGAGGTTCTCGGAGGACCTTGTGTGGAGGGGTCGCCTCAGCGCGCGATTATTGCAGCCGCATCACGGATCCGCCGCTCTCCGTCTGCGCAGACGGAATGCTGATTTCCCTTCCCTTCGCAGCCGCATCCCTCCCACCCATCCCTGAAAACGCACGCACACCAGATCCCATTCTCCAGAGCGCTCAGCGCGGCTAGCGGCTCCTCGGAAACCAGCGGCACCGGGAAAGAGTGGGGGGGAGGGCGCCTTTGATCTCGGCGAGGTGCGAGGCGTGGCCCCGGGGATGATGCCGGGCAGAATCGCCGCTGCGGTCACCCATTAGTCAGCGCCCGGCTTTTCTGGGAGAGAGCGGCGGACAGCAGGAGGGGGAAGGTAAAGCGAGCTCGTGTGCCGAAGCCCTTCGGTGTTTCTGCGGCGTCTCCGTGCATGTTAGAGCGGCGCAGCTCCGTGTGTAACAAGTGAGCCCCAGACTCAGCGCGGCTTCCTATGTGACTCTTGCCCGCTCCTCCGGCCGCCTCCCTCGCTCGCCCGGGAAGGATGAGCGCCTGGGTTCGTTCTGCTGCTAAAAATATTTCATGCAGCCCAGAAAACATTACGGGGGCTTTCTATGCTATATGTGTGTGCACATGCAACGTCTTCTGTGTGTTCTACTGCGAGGCTGGTACGTGGTGAGATGCAAGTCCTTAATGATTTACCCCCACCATGACAATTTTTCGTTAAAATATTAAGAATCACTGTGCTGTCATTCATGTGTCTGTTTATTCTTCTATAGCACTGAAATGTGATCAGTGTGTTCAGGTGGTGGGTGGCAGGACTGCGTTCCTTAGTAAGTCCTTACAATGAGTGCGGGAGATGAAGTGAAGGCGAACTGGAATAACATTTTAAATCCTCGGGTTCTGGACAAGTCTGAGTAATCTGTAATTCTGTACTTATTTCTTGCCATGCTGCTGTGCTACATGATGCAAATAGGATGGGCTGGTCTCATAATCTAGGATCAAGCCATCTTTATGTTACACATGATACCATGAGATTTAAGAAATGAGGCGGGGAATGCTGTAAGGATTCAGGGCTCTGATACACTCTGGCGTAGATCAATATCTGCACCCAAATCAGTGACAGGCTTTGCTCTCACTGGTGCTGGTCTGAAACACGGGTGAGAATATGTTCCCTAAAGGCGTTGACTCACGATGGCATCATACAGCTACAGGGTTTCCCTGGACTGCAGACCTTTCTGATGGATTCTTGCTGATATGCAGTACACAATGCATGCCTTTTGGGGGGCTACTTCTCAAGGTGATAAGTTCTAAGTTCTGTATGAATAAACAGGGAAGGGTGAATGACTGAAGATCCAAACAGGGATGATCAGAGGTGAATCTCATGGTTCCAGCAAAGAGGAACTCAGCTCTGACTTTCCTAAGATCGTAAAGTTCTCTTGAAAATCAGAGTTTAGCATGTTGTTATATTTGCTTATGGGAATCACTTAATTGTCTTATTTCCCCGCCTCAGTAAATACAAAGTCTATTCTATAACAGTCTATTCTATAACTGATTAAAAATGCACTGACCAGTTAAAACATCTTGTGGTAATACTGAACACTCTGGGGGCCTCAGTACAGGAAATGAAAACATCTAAAAGCCATGTAGTGACATTCTTTTTATGCAAAGTCATGACTTTCATTCTAAACATTTTTTGACATGCATGACTACTGCTTTTGAAAAAGATGCATAACATTTGCTATTCTCAATGACTAACATTAGATCAGAAATTCTTTATGTTAGTGCCATTTGTAACAAAATATACCCACATATGGTATCGCACACTTTCTGTGTGGAGAGTCTGAAAATCTATGCTTCATGAACGGGAGCTTCAACGTGCAGGACAGAGGTAACAAAATCTTCTGCCACATGGCCATTTTAATTTTTCGGTTTATAGGCGTCATCTAGATGCCATTTTTCCTGCCAGATCCTTCCCTCTACAACAACAACCTGTTTGGCTTTGGATATTCAGTCACGTCTTTTCACGGACTGGACCTCTCCCTAATGCCTTTAACCTGCTGCAGCTTGTTTTGTCTTCAGAGCAGCGCTGGCTGCATATTGAACCATAGCCTGACTAGCACTGCAGCACAGTTATATAAATAAATAAAAAAAGGCGTGCGATCCACAGGCAGAGGAAAATCTGCCTCCATAATAACAGCAAACTCGACAGGATGCAGAGTGCGTGAGTGTAGCCCTGGTAGTCTGCTCACAGTCATATTTGCAGGAGCCTTATGCAAAGCAGCGGACGAGAACGATTGACGGATGTTTATTACAAAAACGGGGTTCCTACTGTCTCTCGAGCATTTTCGCAAGCGATTCCATCCCATAACTTGTGTTTTAGAATGGTCCTATCGAGAAACCTAAATTTACAGCTTTACTCCTGCGATACACTGGCGTTATGTGGATCCACAACACAGCCGTCTCCATGACAACTGCAGTCCGGCAGAAAAGACAGTTCACTGTGTCCCATCCAATGTTGCCGCATGCTTGGAATAATCGTCACTGGTGTAACATGAGCGTGATCACAAATGCACGCCCGGCATGGTCAGCGGCTCAGACATAGTCACGAAAAAAGAAACAATCAAGTGAAACTTTTTGGGAGGTTGTGGGGGATTCGTGTTATCGTGGTTGCGGGAAAATGAGCAGCCATTAGGATCTAATGGTGGTGATTAGGGGCCATGAGATTCAAGCTTCTCGTTGTTTTTGGGAGGGTGGCCATCTCTGGCAGGTGGCTGGCCCTGGAGATGGTAGAGCATGCTTCCTGGATGCAGAGGGCCATATGTTTTTTGTATTGCACACAATCTGTCACGGTTTTGTTAGGACCCGAGCTAAAGCAGGCGGCAAGCTGCTGGCGTCTCTGATGCTACAAGCTGAATTTGTGTCAGTAACCTTCAGCTCTATCCCTACCATGCTCCCTTTTTGCGGTGAGTGTGTGTTCACAATCGTCTAATATTTATCTTTATATCTGCTTTGTGTAAATTTGTGTCTTGTCTGATTCCATCCTTGCAATGGGATTTTAAAACAGGTTATTAACAATGTCTTTCGGATTCGTGCGTATGCAGTTTAATGTAAACCCAGGGCCACACACAGTCTTGAAAGAATAATTGTATCTTTTCACCAGGAGATGGAACATGTGTCAGGGGTGATGGTGAATTACACACTGCCTCCTCCAGCCAGACCTTTAATTAGCCGACAGTGTGGGCAGTGATGGGGAATCTGCAGTTAAAAAGGAGGAAGGAGCAGAGGGGATGAAAGAATGCAGGAAAGAGAGGAGCGTAGATGCGCTCATTTGGGCTCCTTCCACATCTCTTTACTGAACACTTGTGTTTTTTTTTGTGTTTTTTTGGCCAAGGTTCAGTATTAGAGCATACAGAAAGTATGACATTTCTAGCAGATATTCATGTATAACAGAGACAATAATACAATTTATGAAGATAGATATTCGGTTAGGTCTAGATGTCTGTCTGGTCCCTTCCATTTGATTTTCCAGTCGATTGCACAGTAGTGTCAATGACTGGACCATGAAAATATTTATTGTTGATTGTTTAGATGTAATACATATTCATTGCAGCTGCTTGCGGAACTTCATGCTCTTTGTCATTTTATTGCTTAATATCTATTTTATATGAATATGAGGCGTCTTTGTTTCTATGCAAATCAATTGCAACTTGTAAAGACTCGATTGTTATGTACATGAGTTTTGTTGGATAACCATTTCAGAAGCCATTGCCTGTGTGATCCACTCAGTGTTCCTGTTATTTGATGTCTGGAGAAAGTCGATATGTTAGAACTTTAAATGGCAAATTGTTAAACAATTGTGTGAAATCTTCAGCTTTTTGCACGTACATCCTGTTCTGTTATCCAAACAGACATGCATGACTGAAATACACACATACACATACATACACACAGGTTTGTAATTATATCTTTGTGGGGGCTCTCCATTCCTTTCTAATGGGAAAACTCTAATCACAACATGATGACCTTAACCCCTACCCAGCTCTAACCTTAAGCATTAGTAACCAGACAAAATATGAGACTTGTGGAGATTTTTACTTTATTCATTGCATTCACAGATCTTTGTGAGCACCTGAAAATTGGTCCCCACAACATCAAAATAACAGGCTTTGAAATTAATCTGCATGTGGTGAAAGGTCATGTGACTTTATTGCAATGAGTATAATATCAGATTAAATGGACAACAGAGTTAGCAGTATGGGCACACTGCTGGTCCCCAGTTCAGAAGGTTGTGGTCCTCCCCGGCCTTGATACATGTGGCGATACAGAGGGGAAGGGAGTCGTACAGCCATTGTTTCCTCTCCTGCGGCAAGTCGGCCCACAGCTGTTGTAACTGGCCCTCGAGATCCTGCAGATCGGCACTGGGTCTGAGTTGACGTCCAAGCTGATCCCACACATATTTGCGTGGGGATAGACTGGGCGACCTGGCTGGCCAAGGGAGGATCTCAACATGATGGCGGCAGTCCATTGACACACATGCCGTATGTGGACGGGCATTGTCATGTTGAAAGACTGTATCAGGGTGCTTTCTCAGGATGGGTAAGACATGCGGACACAGGATGTCACTGACGTAGCGCTGTGCCGTCAGGGTCCCACAAATCACTACCAGAGATGACCTGAAGTCACACCCTATGGCTCCCCACACCATGATGCCAAGAGTAACGGTGGTGTGTCTCTCCACAACATTGGTGGGAGTGGTCCTCTCTCCTTGGCGTCGCCATACATGCACCTGACAGTCATCTGTGTTAATGCAGAACTAAGATTCATCGCTGAATATGGTACGACTCCACTCGTCATCTGTCCATGGCCCCCGGTTATGGTACCACTCCAAAAACAGCTGTCTCCGCGCTGGTGTGAACAGCAGCCTATGCATAGGACTGTGAACATGTAGTCCGGCTGATGCCAGTCATCGAGACATGGTGTGGGATGACACTGGGTGTTGTAGAGAGTCCAATACCTGTGTCCGGATAGCAGGCAGAGATGTCATGGGGTTCTATAATGCTTGCCGCACAATACGACGATACTCCCTTGGTGTGGTAACTCTTGGGCAAATTGAACCTTCACAACGTTTTTGGATGCCCTCACGTGCCTATTGGTTCCAACATCAAGCATCCTCTGTGTCTGGCACCTCATTGCTGGGCTGCACATTTACCAAATTACAACCAAATCGGACCATTTCTTCTGAGTGCTTAACTTTTTTGTCACTGAGTGTATTAGTTCTTCCTTTGGTTTCAGAGTGATTACCAGGTCCTGTTGCAGGCTGGATGTTGACATGCTATATATATTGTAATCAGAAATCTATCTGCAACCTGGTACACGAGAACCTATATTAGAAACTGGTAATACACGGACAGAATGAAATACTTGTGGATGAGGACTGAAAACACATGGGTGCCTGCATTTTTTTATTAGGTACAATGGTCTTGTAGGTGACAGACGAGCCTCAGGCTCAAAGGTAGTTAGGTGGGCAACGTGTTGGACAGACAGGGCCTGGTCTGGGAGCTACTCGCTCAGACTCTCACAGAAGGAGAGGTGTTGGGCAGACAGGACCAGGTCCAGGAGCTACTCGCTCAGACTCTCTCAGAGGGAGAGGTGTTGGACAGACAGGACCAGGTCCAGGAGCTACTCGCTCAGACTCTCTCAGAGGGAGAGGTGTTGGGCAGACAGGGCCAGGTCCAGGAGCTACTCGCTCAGACTCTCTCAGAGAGAAATTCTGCATGACTTTTTCACTCATTTCGTATGATGCGGAAACAGAAGCTGGTTATCTAGCCAAGATGTTCATCCCAGATCAGACTTGCAGTCAAACTCAGATGGGGCTCTTATTTTCCACTGGCAAAAGTCAATTTGCTTGACACACATGAAATTAACTCTTTTTTTCAGTTGACTGAGCAGTTAACTGATATTTCCCATTTGGTCATTGTTCTCCCAAAATTCGTAATTCTTTTAGGTATTTCTTTCACCTTTTTGGCACATGACACAAATTCAAGTACAACGAAATGCAGTTTTGCATCTATCCAGAAGTGCAAATAATAGTACAAAGTGGTTATGAAGTAACATTTACAAGAGGGGTATAAATAAATAATATAAAGTTATATAAACATAAAATATGTAAAGACTGGAAGAAAATGGCTGGCAAGGCAACATTTGCAAATAATTATAGTGCAAAGTAGAAAAAAGTGTCGCTTTGGCAATATTTACATGTAGGAGCATGTAGAATGATATCCAGTTTTTTTGCAACGTGAAGTATGCACAGCTAATAAAAATCATTTACTGTTTGGTAGTATTTGTAGATAAGGTGCAAAGGATGAAGGCATGCATGAGTTAAATGCAGATGGGATGAAATAATATTTTGTACATACAGTAAATGAATATATTGTAAGTACAGACAGTTGCAAATGATCACTGTCTGCAAAACAGATGGGGGGCGGGGGCAGAGTATAAAAAGTAAGGTCCATGGTGTGGGGGATGGGCTAGTGCAGGGTTTGAGAGTTAAGCATGCTGATGGGATTGTGGGAAAAGCTGCTCCTGAGCTTGCTGGTACGAGACTTCAGGCTCCTGTACCATCTTCCTGATGGGAGGAGAGCAAACAGTCCATGGCTGAGTTGTGAGGGATCTCCCATAATACATTGCGCACGTTAGAGGTCAGCAATGGTCAGCAATGATATGTTGAGCGCTTGCAGTACCCCATAGCACCACCAGGAGACGTACCTATGAAAGTAATGTGACATGAGGAACAGTGAAGGGATTCTGACAAGTGAATGTTTCATGAGCAATCCAGTCTATTTTTATATCATATCTTGGATATAAAGATTATTTTCTATTCCATTTTTGGAAAGTCACAGTTTATCTGGAATGGCACGAATAAGAGAAGCCGCTCCACCTTGTCCTTGTCTGGTCTTTCTCTCCACAGCGTGTCCCAGAGCAGCTCTCTGGAAGAGGTCTGCCTGGACGGGGGCCCTGTAGCCCCTCCCGCTCCCCGCAGGGTGGAGATGAGACGGGACCCAGTGTTGGGCTTTGGCTTCGTCGCAGGCAGTGAGAAGCCTGTGGTGGTTCGCTCCATCACCCCCGGTAACATACCTGTCTCCATGGATACCCATGCTTCATTCAATGTACTCTGCATTATAAAAGCTCAGCATCCTTTATCAGTTTTGCATGGCAAATCTTGCGTGTGCACTAAAAGATGCTCGCATGTTCATGGTAAATCCTGTTTAAAGGAACTGCCGTTAACAAAGTTTCGCAGCTATATTCAGGACGACAAGTGCAGGATTTTTACATTTCTTTGACGTTGTTCAATCGTTTTACCAGTTTCTTTTCATGTGGATGGCAGAGGATCCATCATAACTCTGGTCCTGTTCCATCTGTCAGGGGGTCCTTCAGAGGGCGAGCTTCTCCCTGGAGATCAGATCATCATGATCAATGAGGAGCCAGTCAGCACTGCCCCAAGAGAACGGGTCATTGATCTCGTCAGGTATCTCTGCCCAACTGTCTGCATTGTGCTGGTTTGTGTTTCTTGGAAAGCCAAGTGATGCTTACATGGGAAAAACATCAAAAAATACCATACGTTCTGAATATGCTATGCATCTCTGAGTCAACTGATTGGTTGCTTCCTCTGCTCCGTAATCCTCATTGTAATACAAGCAAGCAAGTAATCGATGACGACTGTTTGCACCAGTAGCCTAGAGGCCTAGTTCTGCTCATTTCAAATGTTTTCAGCACAATGCCATGAGAGTAATGAGTATTGTCATATCGTAATGGTAACAACAACTAGTAATTACTACCCATATATCCATCCATCCGGCTTCTGTAACACGTGGAGCATGGAGTCATTCCTGGCACACGAGACTAGGAATGCCCAGCATGGGATGCCAGTTCATCATAAGGCAAACATCCACACATTCCGGGCTGTCTGAAGATGCTTGTTTTGGACCATGGGAGGAAACGGGAGCATCCAGTGATGATCTGTGCAGTCACGGCCAGAACAGGGCAGCTCTGCACATTCAGGCAGAGGCAAAAGAGTAACACTTAGATTTCCATAAATTTTGCTGGTTAGTTATAGTTGTTTCAGAGGAAAATACTCACTTACGTGAGGTCATTTCTTGTACGATAAAAGGAGTGACATGAATGGTCCCTATTGGGCCTCATTTCCACGAGAGCTGCCTTGTTGTCAGTCCCTGACTCATAACTACAGCTGTAAGCAGTGTTCTTTTCACCAGAGAATGAAATGTTCCTGTTGATACATTTGCAGTGCTGGAAACAGAAATGCTGATGAAAACACTTTTCTTTGCAAATACTGTTTTTTAATACCTATAGAATCCTAACTGTGTTTTTAGGTTGTATTTGATGATATTTATATGATATTATAATATGTCGCTGCAGTGTTATAAAAAATAATTATACATCTTTTTCCATTAAAAATGGTGAAGCAGTGATTTATCATTGAATGACGTGTTTTTTTTTTGTTGTTGTCCTGCAGAAGCTGTAAGGAATCCATCATGCTGACAGTCGTTCAGCCTTACCCTGTAAGTATGCATTTCACAAACCCAGCTTTCCGAAAGGGAGCTTTTAATTGAAAACCTCTAGCAGTTCAGCTCGTTCAGCTTTTACCTCTGCGCCCTCTCTTATTCCCCTGCCTCAAACAGTGTCTCTCTCTTTATGTACTTGTCTTCAGTGAATCTCTAACAATTTGGATGAAGTGAAACCGAATGTGCCTCCCGAATCTGACCCCAAGTGATGGAAAACCCTTAAGTTAATCCCCATATGGTGACCAGTATGGGTCAACTGAAAGACCTTAAACGCTAAACAACATTAATTTTACACTCTTCCTGTTCATACTTTAAATGAGACTCAATGTTACTGTCATTATTTATGATAGTCCTGGCTCGCTCTCACTCTTCACTGCGTAAGCATCTGCGTGCCCTTGCTGTCCTCAGGTTATGCACACAGTGTACAGATCTACGTGGAAGAGTGCTTAAAATGCTTTTAATTACTTTCAATGATTTTTATATCACTGCAATTCATATTATCTCTCTTCCTTCATGACAGAAAACAGATTTTTGTCAGACTAATTTTTCCCAGTTTTCATTGCTTTCTGATTTCTTCATGCTTATATCATATGATACATTGTATAAATGCTATTTGTCAGACGTTTTTATCCAGAGCAGCATAGCCAATCTTTGGAGCAATTGGGGGTCTTGCTCAATCACCCAACAGTGAGATCACTCCTCCATCCGCAGGATTTGAAATGGCAACCTTCTGATCACTGGCACAGAATCAGAAGTTTGATTGCTATCTCACTTAGAAATGTAGCGTACTATGTGCAGACTGTTAATCGTTGAGCATGAAAACATTGTGATGATGGATTTACAGTCAAGTTAGGAAATGTGTTGTGTATAGAAATGAGCAGAGGCTGTTTATGAGATCCGTTCTGCTGACTACGGCTTTAGTCATATTGTGTCATCATTTTATTCTAAGTGTTATAGCTACCTCTGCATCATTGCCTGGCCACTCAGAGACCATAAGTGCAGACATGCCTTCTTTTCTGTCGCTAATACAAGCCGGATGTCTGTACTCTTTTCAGTCTCCAAAATCTGCCTTCATCAGTGCTGCAAAGAAAGCCAAGTTAAAATCAAACCCAGTGAAGGTGCGCTTCGCGGAGGAGGTCATCGTTAACGGCCAGGCTCCGGTAAGTAAACGGCCTCCCGCTCTTCTACAGCCTCATGCTGTGTTTCGTACCACACGTGAAATTTAAATGTTTCTATCACCAAAGTGTGAATCGTGGGCGTAAAATCACAAAATTTTATGCTAGTGTTACAAATAAATCAACTAGAAGCTCATATAATGCTATGTTTATTTTGCATATAGGATTTGTTTTGTTATTGCCAACCATTATTATTACCAACTGTTTCCGCATTAGTGTGATATTAATATATATTGAGAATAATACATCAGAATTTCAATAACAGAGAAGTGAATCGATAGCTATTTGGCTTGCAAAATGGGAAAACCGAATGAATGATAATGAGATTTTCACCAGAACATTTTACTTCACACTCAGTTCACGTATGTGGTGTAATCATAATCACAAAAGATTACTGAAGAATTATTATTTTTATTGTAGTATGTCTCCATCTTAATTATGTGCTGAGTGATGTAGGTACATTTTGATGCACGTGTGTGAATTTCTGTACATATTGTTTTGGCTGTATACTTGATGTGGGAAAGAGTATTTAGTTCAGCAGAGGCTTAAAATAGTTTTTGTTCTGCTTTTCAGGACCCTGTCAAGGATAATTCACTCCTTTTCATGCCAAATGTTCTGAAAGTATATTTGGAAAATGGACAAACTAAGTCGTTTCGTTTTGACAACAGTACCTCAGTAAAGGTGTGTATAACATTTACATTTATTTAGAAGATCTCATGGGGGAATTTTTTCATTATGTTTAAATATTTAATTTTTACAGGCAGTGAATATTCATAGAATCTTAGTCTGCTGAGCATGTTAATCAGTTTTACAAAGATCTGAACACAGTCCAGTTATAAAAATTGCATTTTAGATTTTTAATCATCTACGGCAGTCCTCGGGGGGCCCCCGGATGTTGGAGCAGGAAGATGTGGACTATCGGGGGGGTTCTTGAGGACCAAAGTGAGAAACAGGGGATAATCAAGGTGGACAGAATGTCAATGAGATTAAGCAGGTGTTTGTAATTATCACAGATATAGTAATGTTTATCTATGAAATGCAAATATCTCATTGCGTGTGGCTTCATTTTGCAAGAAGGTGGCTTTTTTATATAGTTACTGTGTATGGTACTGTGTGGCTTTAGTACCCTGCAGACAGATGGCCAAAGATTATGCACTAAATTACGTCAGCCGACGGATTTAAGCTTGATCTCTGACTCCAAAGACAATGACCACATTGCTGCCACAATATAAAAACATTGTAGCGAGCCTTGTAGAATCTCTAGAATAATTATTCACTGCACACACCATTTTTTCAAGCCTTGCATCCTCAACCAAAATGATTGTTACTAAAGTCTAAACCTTATTAAAACCTGTTTCTTTCTTTCTTCTTAATAATACTATGAAGCAATCATTGTTCCCACTTGTCTCGCCCGACCGTAAAAAGTAGGACAGTACAGCTTGTGAGGTACCTGAACAGGCCGTGCACATTTCACCATTCTGAGTCACATCCATCTGTGTTAAAGGATGTCATCTTAACTCTGCAAGAGAAGCTGTCCATCACAAGTATCGAGCACTTCTCTCTGATGCTAGAGCAGCGTGCTGAGGCATCTCCAAGCAAGCTGTTGCTCCTTCATGAGCAAGAGATGTTAACTCAGGTGAGAGACCCAATAACAGGCTGACCATTTTTAGTAGGAGGTTGAGTTTCTGTAAAACATGGAGCCAGTGTTATTTATGAGAGTATGACGATGGCACCGCCATAAATACTTTGGGGGTGCTGATTAGAAGTGCTGATTCTCGATTTTTGTCTCTTTGGAAGACAATGTATCAGTGAGCCAGATTTAATTATGCCTTAAAAACATGTCATGGGGCATCTAAAACCATCTAAAGTAGTGGTTCACAAACTTTTTACACTGCATACCACCTAAATAGTATTACGCTACACACATGCCTTCATTATGACATTATGCCGTGACATTATGCCTGCCAAGAACCATTTACTGGGTAACATCTGTTATTTTCACTGCACGGGGGGTATTGCTTGGCATTTTCTCTCTCTCTGTCAGTGTTTGCAACACAGTGGGCTGTTGCAGGATGCTGCTGGTAGCAGTTTAGCTCTACTCTTTCTTATGTTTAGTTTTTACATATTTAATTAAATTACTTATGTAGTTTGAACTTGTTTCATACTTCTTCTTGATATTTCAGCAGAGCACAGTTTGCAGTCCACTTTGGATGTTGTCATTAATTTTGAAATACGTCCACACCACAGACGTTTTGTGGTCTTGTTAATTTTGCTCGTTGATGATATTGCTGATACATCATCAGGTGGTATTGGTTATAGATATCTGCACACTGTCACAAGGATGGGTATGAGTACCTGAGTACTGTATGGGATCCAATACAAGTACTAGTATCAGTATCAATGCACTTCTAGTTCTTGGGTTCAGATCACAGATGTGTTTTTGAAATCTTATTACAGTCTTTTCTGCCTCCCTCTACTTTTCTTTACCTAGCTTATAGGTCAACAGACTTCAGTTCGGCTAGGTGGAGTCTCTAAGAATGTGAAAGACGTGACTGTGATTGGTTGAGAATTTCATGTTATGAAGTTCAAATGTTAAGAATATATAACTGCAGAAGAATCTTTTGGTGGCACTAGCGTTTACCTGGTAGAACTTTGTCTCTTCTCTACACATTTTTTTTGTCGTCTTGGTCTCTCAGTAAGCTATACTTAGACTACTGGCTACTTGTAGGTGAATTTTTGGGTGCAGTAGGTAAGAGTTTGCTGGAGTAATAGTATGCCTTTGTGGCTCAGCATCACATTGTGCCCATCCAGTGCTGCGCCTACACACTTTCGGGTTCTTCACTGTTATGCATTCAAATGCTTCCTTTGATACAGAGCAAATGTACCCTCCTCGTCTGTTGGCCAGGTGACACAAAAACCAGGATCTCATAAGATGAAATGCTCCTTCAGAATCAGCTTTGTTCCGAAGGATCCCATTGACCTGCTCAGACGAGATCCAGTGGCTTTTGAATATCTTTATGTTCAGGTGGGTGGCGGTTTTACCTTTGACAGTATTAAGATTAAAACAGGATAAATTCTGTTTAATTGTCCATTCTTTTGCCATTTTTATTACAAAGAAAATCTCATTCCTTTAAGGTTAGCAGGCAGTAATATTTAAAATTGAGCCTAAACAATGACCAAAAACATACATTAATAAAAGTTGCATTTGACAGAGATCTTTCTTCATCAGATCGGATCATATCAGATCAGAGTTATGTAACTTGATACTTAGTAGAGTGCAGAAGAAACGTTTGTGTGCAAGTCTCACAACAGCAGCAACAATCAGTTCAATTGGAACTGAACCAAAATAATAAATATACAACACAGTAACCATAAATAGTGTGCAACTTTAGAAGCAACTTAATACACTAAATAATAATCCAGTAATAGGTAGTGAATAAATTTGCTCTGCAAAGTCCAGCATTCTGATGGTCTGGTGAAGACACTGTCCTGGTATGAGAGATTCCCTCAGCTCCCAGGCTGAATCTGATATGCTGGCCTTTTCTCACCGGAAGAGCTGTAACGATGTGGTGCTGGAACGATTCGGGCCTGAGCTGAAGTACGACACAGCCCTCCGCCTGGCTGCTCTGCAGATGTACATCCTGACCGTCACCATGAAGCAGACGCAGAAGGTGTCGCTGAAGTACATTGAGTGAGTGGCCTTCTCCCTCTCCTATCTTACTCTTTACCCATGTTCTAGACTGTTTTATCAGCTGTTAGAAGGGGCTTTAAGTCCTGATAGCCAGATTTGATTCTGGTTACCTGCTAGTCTCAAACTCACAACTCACAAGAAGTGGTTTTTCCTTCTGTCTTAATTCATATGCAAAGACCCTCCAACTTGCATCGAAAAATTTGGGGGTTGGTGGTGGGATCTGCTCTCTTTGGGAGTAATTCTGCTGCAGACACCCACAGGAAGGCTGCACACGTTATGAAGGGGATGGGGAAAGCCCTCAGGAGCTCCATCCCCGGAGGAGAGTCAGTAGGGTCAGGCCTGTTGGGGATCAGAACTGGTGTGTTGCTGGGGTCTCGCTCGCTGCACTGCAGCACTGCAGCACTCGGGTCCTAATATGAGGCAGCCCAACCAAGTAGGTGCATGGAATGTCTTGCCTCTCCGGCATGATGACCATCTTCCTCTGCTGTTGGAAGAGCTTTGCAAACTCTGCATTTCAGTGGTGGCACTCTCTGAGGTACACAGACCAGGGAGATGACTGCCATACTCAGGGAGTAGCTGTTACTGTAGCAGATCAGCTCCTCCCAATGGCGGCCAATGTCACTCCTTTCAATGAGCATACAGTATTATGAGACTCAGGCTAAGGCACTCTCTGGGTATCTTATATGTTGTCTCACTGTATGCATTTTATTTGCAGCTTCACTCGACCACTGCGACCACTGGCAGTGACAGGGCTGGCTATGAGGACTCCGTCAGTCCCCATGGGTCTGGCGATCATAGTAAAAATGGCTTCATGTTCCTCAACTTTGTGAAAGGTCTGGGTCTCGGGGTCGCTGGATCCTGGGTCCAGCACTCTAAGTCAGACCGTTGGACTGGATACTACAGTACTGGTGGTGCGGCGAAGGAGATGATGTAGTTTGTATGTAGTTTGTGTGAGGAACTTGCACAACTAGGGTGTGACTGCTGATTCTCCGTGACAAAACCCTGAAGGTTGCTGAGGGTTGTGTTGGTTTTTCTAGGTGTGTGAAACACCCTGGATATTATTGAGAGGAGTTGCAGCATACGGCTTAATGGTAACTCCGGTCTGCTTCAGGATCTGAGAAGGATGGCTGCAAGGGCTCTGAAGGCAAATAAAGAGGCATTTGTTAGAGGAATCTGTGAGCAAGTGATACGCCATCTATGGTGTAGTGACCCATGTCCTGTTTACAGAGGAATTGAAGCATTACGCACAATTGAATCTGTTCCTCGGAGAGTCACAGTCAAAGCAGGTGATGGAATACTTCTTACGGATGACACTGCAGTTGTAATTTGCTGGGTTGGCTACTTTGAGCAGCTGTTTAAAGCGGATCCTCCAGCTAGGATGTTGGACGTTTCTGGGTCCACGTTTCTTGATGCTGATTCTCCAATTAGCTGTGAACCACCCAATCTCACTAAGATTGCACAGGTGGTGAACCAGCTGGGAGTAGGGAATGGTGCAGGGATCTATGGTATCCAGGGTGAACTTCTCGAGGCTAGTAGTGAGGCTGTCTTCCTGGCATTGTATGCAATCTTTGTTGCCATTTAGGAGATTGGTGTCATCCTAACTGACTGGAAGGCGGGACCTGTTGTCCCTATCTGGAAAGGTATGGATGACTACATGGATTGCAGCAGCTACAGGGGGATAACACTGCTCTCTGTGCTGGGAAGGTCCTTGCTAGGATTATCTTCAACAGGATCCATGATCATTTGCTCACCTACCAGCACACCAGAGCAGTCTCTTCTTTGGCTAAGATGTCTACCTTCTCATCTTGTTAAAGACAAGTGTCTGTTCAGTCGTTAGGTGATCATTGTTAGTTATTATGACCAACCCCCACAGGAAGGAGTGGGGCTTTGCGCTTTTCCTGCCTCCAGCGCTGCTGTCCAGCATGAAGGAGAAGAACATCAAAAAAGCCCTGACCCACATCCTGAAAACCAACCAGAACCTCGTACCTCCCGGCAAGAAAGTAGGATTTCTGTTTTCTTCTGTCCCTGTTTCTAAGTCTGCTGGGTTTTTTTTGATTATACCGCATACAGTGGACATGTAAGCATCTCTATTCGCCCTTATGGCTACACATATATACCACCATGTAACACCAAACAGATATGAAAGGAAGATCCTTCTTGGAGGTGCATAATTAATAGTTACCTGTGAAGTCACTTTAGTTGAATTATTCATACAATATAATTGTACAGTGCAAAAGCCCATCAACTCTAATACGCTCAAACTTGTCTTTCCCTCTGATACGTAGAGCAGCACATGCGATTTCCTGTGTGGCATGAAACTATGATATTTTTACAAGAAAACAGGAGACCAGTAAAGTGCAATGAAGATTGTTAGCATGTGCACAAATGAATGTATTTGCTAGTGAGAAATACTGCAATGCAAATGGTCATGTCGCTAATTCAGCCTGCAGATTTCACCCTGGATTTGTTTCTTCTCCTTGTCTTCTTGCAGCTAACTGCCTTGCAGGCAAAGGTACATTACCTGAAGTACCTCTGCGATCTGAGGCTGTATGGGGGTCGAGTATTCAAGTCAATACTGTTGGTAAATGCGTGTTTTTGTCTCTGCATTTTTGACTCATTTAGGCTTTTAAACCTGAGGTCTTGTGGCTTTCTCTGTCTCCAATGAAGGATTTATAAGTGGAGTCACACCAGCATAGCATCTAAAGGAGTCAATGGTGCAGAGGCGACTTTGGTCTGAAAGAGGCTGTCTGTCTCACAGCAGGGGGACCGGCACACCGAAGTGACCCTGCTGGTGGGGCCACGCTATGGCATCAGTCACGTCATCAACACCAAGACCAACCTGGTGGCCTTGCTGGCCGATTTCAGCCACGTCCATCGCATCGAGATGTATGCCGAGGACGAGAGCAATGTCAGGGTAGAGCTGCACGTCCTGGATGTCAAGGTCAGGCAGGGGCTTCGGCTCAGACCATCCAACACATAGCTTTGATCATTTTTGGGAGGTGATTGATAATGAAAGAGAGCTCTCAGTGTTGGTGTCCTTTGATTTTAACTGCTTGAATGTGAGTATTCAGCGCACATTTCTTATATCTTATGGTACTCCTTAATATCTCTGTTAAGGGGTAGTAAGCAGCACTAGAGCTGCATGTTCTCCTCGTGTGTGTGTGTGTCTGTGTGTGTGTGTGTGTGTGTGTGTCAGTGTCTGTGTCTGTGGCTTCTAGTTTCTCCTGCAGTCCAAAAAAGTGCTTGTAGCAAAAGGTGTCTCTAAACTGCCCATAGCGTGATGTGTAGTATATGCTAAGGCTGCAGCGCTTAGTCGACGTAGTCGATGACGATGCTGAAAATGTGTCAACATCAATATTTTAAATCAACGCATCATTTTTTGAAGTTATTGTAATAAAATTACCTTTTTGATTCCTAAAATGCTTCAATTCAAAAAAGTTTTCCTTTAGTATTACTAAGTAGTTATGGGAGTACTTCAAATTATTACAGAACAAAAAGATGGTTTGTGCACTGTGCAAAGTCTTGATGGCATATTGCAGTGGCACTAGTGCGATGCATGAGTACCTGAAGAGAAAAAGCACAGACGCAGGCACAGACACTGGCTCAGGCACAGACACTGGCCCAGGTACAGACACAGACACAGACGTAGTACAGGCACAGACTCAGATGCAGGCACAGACGCAGGTGCAGGCACAGACACAGACACAGGCGCAGGTGCAGACTCAGACACAGGTGCAGGCACAGACTCAGATGCAGGCACAGACACAGGCGCAGGTGCAGGTACAGACACAGGCGCAGGTGCAGACTCAGACTCAGATGCAGGCACAGACGCAGGTGCAGGCACAGACACAGACACAGGCGCAGGTGCAGACTCAGACACAGGTGCAGGCACAGACACAGGTGCAGGCACAGACGCAGGTGCAGACACAGACGCAGGTGCAGACACAGACGCAGGTGCAGACACAGGCACAGACACAGGTGCAGGTACAGACACAGGTGCAGGTACAGACGCAGGTGCAGGCACTCTTCTGGATGATGGACTGCCAGAAGAAGCGAAACCACTGTGTTGTCTATTCATGTTTATTAAATTGCCATTAGTACAAAGAGCTTTTTAATACCTTTAGTCATTGTAGCTACTAAATACACTCATTATTAAAGCCATAAAGTTGTCTGTCTGGTACCTTAGAATTTCCATTGAAGTGTTTAAGAAAACATTTAGGCTACAATCTGGGCTTATTCTACACCGATGCTAGTTTGGTGCTATGGTGCTGCTAGGCGTATGTGTGTTCATGCGCATTGAGATTATTGCGGCCAGAGTTATTATCATAAACTAAAACTGAAATTAAAACAGACCCTGAATTTAAAAAATAATTCTTGAACTGAAATAAAAATGAAAATTACATTTAACAAAAGATGGACTTTAAACTGCAAAAAGCACCGCCTCCCACCAACGTCTCGTTACCTTGTTTAACCACAATATCTCCTCTTTTAAAAGATGTTGTGGCTGTTGAGCTGTACCTTTCTTGACTTGATTTACCACGCTGGCCGAATTTAATAAAGATAAGGATGTGCCAAATTTATAAAGATTACTAACTTATGGGCGTCACGATATGCCTCTCATTAATATTTTAGCCACACTACTAATTTGGTTGGTGTACTGTAAATGGGGGAGTAAGATACAAGTATAGTGCCAAAAAGCTGGTGTCCATTATCTAAAGCCCTGCAATAACAAATATGTAGTTTGTTCTTGTCAAAATGAACTTAAGAACTGAAATGAAATGGTCAATTTTATTTTCAGGAAAAAAAAATTATAAAACAGTCAATAGACTAATTGATAGAAAAATAGTTGTTAATGACAGCCCTAGTATGTGCATGTGCCTTATGAAGGACTGGCATTTCCCCCAGGGTGTTCCCCTGCCCTGTGCCCTGTGATTGGCTGGCATCTCCCCCAGGGTGTTCCCCTGCCCTGTGCCCTGTGATTGGCTGGCATCTCCCCCAGGGTGTTCCCCTGCCCTGTGATTGGCTGGCATCTCCCCCAGGGTGTTCCCCTGCCCCGTGCTCTGTGAAGCATTGGCATCTCCCCCAGGGTGTTCTCCTGCTCTGTGATGGACTGGCATCTCCCCCACGGTGTTCCCCTGCCCCGTGCCCTGTGAAGCATTGGCATTTCCCCCAGGATGTTCCCCTGCCATGTGCCCTGTAATGGACTGGCATTTCCCCCAGGGTGTTCCCCTGCCCTGTGCTCTGTGAAGCACTGGCATCTCTGCTAGGGTGTTCCATTGCCTTGTGCCCTGTGAAGCACTGGCATCTCCCCCAGCATTTCCCCCTGCCTTATGTCCTCTGATGGACTGGCATCCCATCCAGGGTGTTCCCCACTCTGTGCCCTGTGATGGACTGGTATCTCCCTTGCCTTTTGTAGTGTTCTTGGTGGGATTTGCTGATGGATCCATGTTCTTAGAAAGTGGCATGATAGAGCATTAAAGTGGATTGAGAATTACCATGGTAACATAAAATGCCTGATGTGAGGGTGTGTGTGCCACAGCCTGTCACCCTCTTCATGGAATCCTGTGATGCCATGAACCTGGCCTGTCTGACTGCTGGATACTACAGGCTGCTGGTAGATTCTCGGCGCTCCATTTTCAACATGGCCAACAAATCCAAGGCAGCAACTATGGATGGCGGTAGGTGTATTTACCACATCTAGTGAGGATATGTGTCTGAGTGTCTCAGTGTTTACAGTGAGACGATATTACTTCTGAGTTATTAAATTTTTATTCTGCTGTGACAGACAAAATGACTAACTCAAATTGCTTTCACCGCCTCCCTATTTATTTATATTGTAGGCCAGGAACCAAGGGGCAAGTTTAACTGCCAAGGTATTGAGTGCATGTACAGTACCTCCTTCAGTGGCAGCGAGGATCCTGGCCTTCAGTTATGCCAGAAGGATACCCATGAAAAAGGCAACTTTTCCATTTGTACAGGAATTGAAAAGGAGGCCGTCCCCATTTACATCACAGAGGTAGAGCAGTCCCAGCATGCCATGCAGGTAGGACAAAGAGCCGAGAGAGGGAACAGGAGCACATACTGTCAAGCCTTTCTCTCTATGGCAAGAACTAAACCCCCGGACTCTGCCAGAAGTGCCAAGGTTTCTTTTATTTTTGGAGATGCCCCTTTAGATAGTATTAACCCCCAGAACCTTGGTTACCAGAGACTAATGGATGATAGCCCAGAAATGTTAGATGAACATGGCTCCTTGTATCTGCCAAACAATGAGGGCTTAAAGCATTTGGATCCTTCTGGAGATGGGGATGGATTTCAGTATGGCTCCCATACGGTCTACAGCAGCATCAATGATGCAAAAATCTTTGGAAACACAGGAGGCATTGAGGAGCCTCTGCTGCATGACATCTGTTACGCAGAAACCACGGACGATGCTGAGGATGAGGATGAAGCCAGCTGTGAGGAGGACAGTGAAGTCAGTGAGATGGGCAAGACCACCTTTCTCAAGTTCTCGGGCTCCAGTGACGACATAATCGACTTGACCTCCCTGCCTCCTCCAGAGGGCGATGATGAAGAGGACAACGATGTCCTTCTGCATTCACTGAACCTAGCCATTGCCGCTCCTCCTCCTGGGTTCAGGGACAGTTCGGATGAAGAGGAACACCAAGTCTCTCAAGTCACAGAAGGAAGAGGCCCAGGGAAACTCGATGACATCCCAGTGTCTCTGATTGACACTGTCCCGACACAGGGCAACAGCAGCAGCGAGAAAGCCCTGGACGATGCTGTGGTCTCTACACTGCAGGCACTGGAAGCCCTTGCAGCGTCTGAAGAGTCATCCCACCCGCCGTCCACCAGTAATACAGGTTCTTACACTAAGCATTTATTCATTAATAGCATGCGATTATTCACCAATTTTCATTTGTTGTGTTCTCTTATACACTTCCATTGCCCCATGTTGCTGATGTGTTTTATCTGCATTTCTTGTAATTTGCAATATTTGCATTGTTTGGAGAAAATTCTGTATAACTAAGTAGGATTTTGCTTAATTTGAGTTATTTATTTGAAGCATTTATTCCAATTGTTTCAAGTAAAAGCTAACTCCATTGTTTGAGATGGAATTTTTAAAAACATTACATTATTTGCAGAATGTTGTCACAGTGTGATTCGTAAGTGATTATAAATAAGCATTTTGTCTGTTTGTGGCATGCAGGTTTAGCCATATCCCGGGCCTTTAGTCCGGAGTCCTCTTCAGATTCTGGGAATGAGACAAATTCCTCTGAAATGACGGAGAGCTCTGAGCAGGCCGCGGCCCAGAAGCAGTCAGAAAGCAACATGCGCCTCTTTGTGGCAACCACAGAGGGATTTCAGCCTCTCCTAGTGGAAAAGACAGAGTTTCCCATCTCTCCTTCTGAGGGAGACCATTCTCTGAAGATGCCCCTTGGTATCTTGAGCCGTAAAGAAGGGGAGCCTACGGCTGTGCCTTCAAAACAGATCCTTCACTCTGAGAACATTGAAATGGAGCCAGAAACCATGGAGACTAAATCAGTCACAGATTACTTCAGCAAAATGCATGTGGGGTCTGTTCTGCCATCCTGTAACAGCAAACAAAAGGGAAAGCCTAGTGAAGAGGATCCCAGAATACCCTTTGATACAAACACCACGGGAAAACGACAGGTGAGGATGGCTGAAGCAGGTGGGGATGAGCAGCTCCACGGTGGAAAGTACAACACCTTCTCTGCCAGAGATGCCCATCGTATGAATCACTTTGATCTAGAACGTACCTCATTCCGAGAGAAGAGCCAAAGGTCACACATGCTGAGTGAAAACAAGATGGCAGAAAATTCCACCATGGGACCTATGTGTGGTCACCCTCTGTTACGTGGACGTCATGTTGGTCAGGCTGAGCTCCAAGAGTCAGAGCAGGAATTAAATGACAACAGGGTTCCAAGTAAAGGAAAGGAAGAAGGTCTTATTTCAGAAACCTTCTCCCAAGAAAAGGAGCAAAACAGCTCCCAACACGTCAATGCCCCCCTTGAGGAGCAAAAACAGAGTAAGCAACCTCCAGGAGAGCACGCTGTTGCTGGGCTGTGTGAGTACCACCTAGCCAAACGTATATCATCCCTACAGAGTGAGGGTCACTTCTCCCTTCAGAGCTCCCAGTGCTCCTCTCTGGATGCCAGTGGCTCTACAGGGAGCAGCAGTTGTGCCACTCCCATGGATTCCCCGCACTGCACCACTGATACGAAGTACATCAGCTACATGGGCGCAGAGGACAAAGCCCATAGCACCTCAAGTCATGGTCCTCAGCTCAAAGATCTCCACCCGAATGCCGATGCAACAGTGCTTCGGAAGATGCTGCCTAACTTACACACGGCCCCTGGCTCTGAACCTGTATTTGGGCCGTTGCGAGAAGGATGTCACCGGATCCCTAAGATCAAAGAAACCACAGGTATGGCTCAAAGGACTGATGTCCTCTGTGATTTCAGTGTGAAGCAAGCATGCATTAAAAATAATTCATTGGACAGGAATGAAGCTCGCAGGCAGCTGAAGTGTTTAAACACACTGTCTGTGCACCAAGGTGGAAAGCAGCAATGTTTGAATCTAGGCAAGATAGCTGATAAGAGGCATGCCCATTATAATACTGCATGGGTAGAAGTGATGCAAGGTAAGAGAGGTAATGGTAAAAGATGTCCCTGCATGCTGACTTTTGCACCTTTTGAGAACCCACTTCTAGCGCATCCAGCTGCAAGCAGCCTTCAGAGTACTTAAAGATGCCAGAATGTTCCACTCAGCCACCTTGCCTGCTATGTTGAAGAGAAATCCAAATTTGCATGCTCAGCAATCCATGAAATGTTTTCATAAAAGGAAGCGCTCCTATTCTGGCTCTGTAGGCACTTTAGAAGGTTCTGTTAGTCTGCTTGAAAGGAATGCATGTGTGCGAATCGGCAAAGTCCCAGTCAGGGCACATGACAGTCAGCCTCATGGTGAGGAGGAGCCGCTCAGGGCTGACTACAGGACAAAGCATGTTGTCACAGAGATGCTTAACGATACTCTCTGTTTCTCTACTACCCCTAGTGTAGCTTACACAGAAACTGAGAAGGCCCAACGAGGGGACTCGTCATCAGCTCTTCCCAAACAGGTGAAAGAATCTCCCCTGCTGCTGCCATCTCGCTTAAGTGCAGAATCAAACGTGCCAAAGCAGGAGTCCACGGACAGTGAGAAAAACAGCCATTTTTCAACATCTCCCAGAAGCTTGCATTCATGTGATCCCTGCACTGGAGGTATTGGCAGGAGCCTGAGACGAGGCTCCAGCAGCCTAACTACTGGCTTCAGGAGATTCGACACCTTGTTTGAGAAGAACAAAGCTGCAGCCGGTAGCAGGTGCATGCAGTCCCCCCAGTCCCCTAATTCCAAAATGCAAAAGAACCCCCTTGGGAAGAGACTGTGCAAGAGCGACTCCCAAGACTTTGTTGACTTCTACTTCTCTTGCTATTCATCTAGCAACAAACAGAACGAGAGGGTCCCAGCAAGCACCACAGCCAGATGCCAAAACCTAGAGGTGTCATGGCCCCTTCAGCTACTGCTTCCTCAAGAGGAGCAACACATTCATGATGATGCTGAAAACCTAGATCAGTTGTTGAGTACTACAAGGACAGCAGATCTTTTGTCCAGGGTTGATGCCCAATGGGACACTTGCAACATGGATACAGCAAATATGTGCTCTTTGGACCTCTCTAGTGAACAGCATCCCATGGATGCCACACTGAGGGACATGAGCTTTAGTTCAAAGCTGGTCCCCATTGGTCAACTCAAAGGGAAGAGTTATATATTCTCTGATGGCTTTTTAGCTGCACAGAGTGATGCCAAAGAGTTGATCGCTCTGATGCGCTCCAGTTTGGGCAGGGGGTGTGACATGCAGTACAATATTCGAGGTGTCTGTCAGTACTACCAGCTGCTTCCACTGAGTCCAGAAAGCTGAGTAGCACCTGCGAGATGGTGTCCCAAGCTCACCAAAGCACAGAGGAAATGCTTTAGGCAGTAACTTGTAGCTTCCAGGCACTCTGCTGCTTTCCTGAAGCTTGCATGTACCTACTGAGCGGGATGAGCACTGAGGCCCAACAGGACCAGGTGGCGGCCAAAGCGGATGAAGTCATCACAAACTATATCTGCCTACTAAAAGCCGCTGAGGCAGCAGTAGGCAGCTCTGCCTGTGACCACAGCGTCAGAGTACTGGCACAGCACTCTACCACCATGTCCGCTATTGTGTACATGCTAACACATTCAGTCAAAGCACTTATTAAACCTTAAACTTTTACCTTAATGTTATTTTGCTAAGCCATACATGAAATTGCGGGTTTCTCTGACCCTCATAATAAAACATGCTATTGGGGAAAAAAAATTTGATCTGTATATATTTTGTTTTATATGTAATAAACAGAATTATGAACACCACACAAATATAAAGAGAAAGGTATCTCCCCCATTACAGAACAGGTTGTATGAGGCAGACTGTGTTTCATCATGCAATCTCCTGTATCTTGCATTACAATGCTTTTACTTGTTGCAATGTAAAATTACAGGTCACTGGGGTTTATTGAATATATTGTACTATATATTAATACATTGTATCTTTATTAAAAAAATGAACTTTAAAAATAAAGTGAAGATAAGCCTTTTACTATCAAAGCATTACTATTGTTGTTGTTGCTGCTGTTTCACAAAATTTTTATATAATGCTGAATTAAAGCTTTGTGAGAGTTTTTAAGGCCAGATGGTGAATACAGTTATGTGAGAAGAGGAAGCTTTTTTAGCTGTGTGGTGTTTGGGGGGGGGGCAGCAGGACTGGACATGGATTTCTCAGTTAGCTGGGCTAGCTTAAGCTAGAAGCCTTGATTGTCTAATAAGAGTTTAAGTAAGGAGCAATATTGGACAATCATGACCACTAGCTTCAAATCTTGCTTCATGGAAGACCCCCTTGATGACTAATGAGCACGTTTGGTGTAAGCTTGGGTAGGAAGTATGCAGAAAGCTGAAATGGGGATTGGGTCATGGACAGGCTGTAACTGAAGGTTGGATCTGAGTGACTCTGAGTGACTGAGTGAGCGAGAATCAGGTGCACTGAGTACGTTGATTTGTCAGTTGATTTTCCTCGGCCCAAACTGCCTGTATCTCCCCCATCTTACATCTGCAATATTATAATATTACTAACTGTCCTAACATACTTGAATGCACTGACCTACTGTTATTCTGTTCACACTGCATCTATCTCCAGTACACATGCCTTGCCAGGGCTCCACCCTAATTATAAAACATAATGTCTTCTCAGGCCATACACATAAGTGTTGTTGAAACAAATTCTACTCTTAGTCTGTATTGTGTGAGTAAGTTAAGGCTGTGCAAATAGGGGAATAATAACAAGCTTGAGTATGCCAATGTAACACCTTAGAGGTTTGGATGAGATGGGGAAAGAGGTATGCGGTGTTCAGGAATATCATCAAGGCATTAGGCTTTGTCTCATGGTGTTTTGATGTTACACCAGGGGTATAATGGAGATTCTGAATTTCTGTGTGGCTAATGTGTGTCCTGCCCTGTGATAGACCGGCGTTCAGTCCAGAGTGTACCCTTACCTGAGATAGACTCCAGGCCCACCTGGGATGGATATATATGTGCACACACCCTGCGGATGGGTGGATAAGTGAAAAGAAGCCATTCTGCACACCAGTATTGTGAGCTGTTATCTTTCTCCTCTTTTTCACCTCTTTCATTAAGCATGTATTTTCTGGCCAAAGTCATTTCCTGGCTGGCCATTCTTCGTAAATGCCTAAAAATTCAAGGCCAGTGGCTGTTTCTGAAATGCTGCAACCACCAAATGTGGCACAACTAACAGTACAGCTATTATTCAGGTTGTCTGTTTTAACAAGCAGTGATGCAATGGTCCACAGAGAATCTGCTGTGCACCAGCAGGGGGCAGTCAGCCTCACTCAGGCAGGTGTTAGCTGTGTTTTCTTCACAGTTGACCATGGAGATTGTTAATTGGTTGCTAATTGGGGCAGGGAGCGGAACCGTCTTCCCCAGTGCAGTTTAAATCCTTGACCATCGGAAGAAGGTCAAGAAGAGAGGAAAAGGGATGAGCAAGTTGCTAATGCTCTGATAGTTTACAAGCAAGAGAAAAATGATCCCTGGCCCTCCCAATGAACAGGCATTAGAGGATCTCTCAGAATGCGAGTAAAGTAAGAGGAGAGTGTAGAGACAGCATGAAGGATACAGACACCCAATTTCCAGGAGGGTCCTGGTGTAGCAGGGTCAACCTTTTGGTGCTTCACTGAAAAAACCAACTGTACAAATCATTTCATGGGATAAAATGTTAGTTAAGCAACTGAATGTGAAGCATAATTGTGTCAGTCTTCTGATGAACCATTATGGGCTTTGGATCTCCATGTCAATGCACGTTTAAATGGATGCCATTTTAAGAAGTGATATTTTTGTATTTTTCTATTTTTATTTCCACCATCTGTTTTTTTTTTTATACTTCAAGGAACGATGTTTATCAGTAGCACCATTTTTTGAACCACGAACAGTTAAAAGGTTTATTATAGATTAGTTTTTTTCATGTTTAACATCTGATGCATTATGTATATTGTAGCATGTCCTTACTTCTGGTAATTCTCCATCTGCGATTTAACATAGAGCCTATTTATATATGCTGAGGGTGTTCTAATCCTGCTGGGGAGGTCAGTGGTAGGTCCTTGATGTTTTGGAGAAACAAATCAGTTTTTAAAATCAGCTTCAGCATTTGCCAGACACAGTACAGCATGCTGATTTGAAAGTAGATTAATGAGGAATGGAAGCAGTGATGGTATGTGAATGTGTCTGCCGGCATAGGTCATATCCAAATGCCACCTTCCCCCAGCATGGAGATCTGGGGAGTGTGTGTGTGTGTGTGTGTGTGTGGGGGGGGGGGCAGGGTGTTTATATCAGTGTTTCCCAAACCAGGGCACACTGGACAGATCCACATTTTTCTTGTATCCCAGTTCCCAACACACCTGTAAGGAATTTCGAGCTCCTGATTGCTTGGGTCAGGTGTTCTGGTTTAGGAAGCACTGGTCTATATTGTGCACAAGGGCAGAGAAGCGAGTTTTATATGGGGGGGTGCAATAATTTAAATGTAGGGGTCTGTTTTCTGAGCAGGCCAAATGAAGCCCCCTCCCCTGCCCCATTCCCACCCCCCGGTTGTCACTTTCCCACACATTCCGGACTCAGCGCTGGGGCTCAATAAAAGAAATATTGTAAGAGCGGCACATTAGAAAATTTTTTCCAACTATACCCCAGATATGAAAAAGGCCTCCTACCACAAGGGGAAGCCCGACAGATAGTGTTGTAGCATTTGGATGTGAAGCACATCAGGCTTGATTTAGGCCTCTTCAGAAGCTTTGGGTAACTTCCTTGAGAAAAGTATAGCTTGTGAATTTCCTGCAGATGCATATGATTATGACTTTGTGTTCAAAACAAAATGTATTACAGTTTTTCCCAGTCGCTTTGGTGCATTTCTCAGATTAGAATTGAAAATCTCAAAACTACTTGTCCAACCTCCACATAATCAAGTCACTTGTGCACATCATAAATGCAAAGTCTCATTCTTTTGGGAAAATTGCAAATGCTTTGGCACATTCATGCAAATGATTATGTAACAATTGTTTGCTGTTTCCTATATTATCAATTGCTTATGTCATGTTAATCAAAAGGAATTGTACTGGTTGTTCATTGCATAAGTCAGTACCTGCAAAATGGTTGAACCAGTTGTCATAATCTGTCAAGCATATTCTCTATACTTCTCTACTACAGTTTTTTTTAAGTAAATGTGTCCCGAATTGATTAATTTCTCTCAGCTGAATCTTGACTTTCATCAATAGAAGGGAATGTTTGAAGCATTTGATCGACCAATGATCAACCAGTCCTCTTAAATAGGTGCATCATAGGAACCTTCAGTTGACAAGTACATATTGACAGAGTAACACAGTGTTACAATTTGACAATGGAAGAACAACAAGGAAATGACAGCCAGTAAGAAGAGGGGTGAGGCTGCATGGTTACATAGGGAGGTAAAACATAGGGAGGTAAAACAGAGGAAGAGGTAGAAGAGGCCAAGAACAGAGGCATGTTCCTGATGAATAAGGACCACGTCCTCAACCATGGCCTTACAATGGCTGAGGCTGGTCACAGGGTTTGACTGAATGTTGGGAGAACTACTGTGTCCTCAATATTCATATATATATATACATGTGTGTGTGTTACAGTATACATACAGTAACATTGTACTGTTGAAATTGATATACTGTATGCCATACAGAAAAAGTAAAACCTTGTGATTTTCAATCATTGTCAAAACATCAAAATATTAGCCATAGTCTTCATTGGAAAATACTTACAAAGTGCACTGTTATATTGACAATTTTGACCATATTTTTCATGAACAATGACACAATGACGTATCATTCTGGTGCATGGACAAGTTCATTGACAAATATCTACTTTTGAGGGATAAACTAAGGATTTTGAGAAAGTTACAGATTTTCACAGGTAATCTATTTTCTGTTGCTGTTTGTATGAATTGTTTTGAGAAATGATTTACTGTTTTGCAGATGTTAGGGATGATTTGAGAAATGTACCAAAGCAAAAAACTGTAAAAACAAAACAAAAATGATGTGTAACAATCCTAATGAACTAAATTCCGTGTTCTACACAACCAAGTATGGCCGCTTATCTGTAGCAATAAACACCCCTATAGCCAGTGTTTTTTAACATGGTCTGAATTTCTCAGCAAAAGTGCTTTAAATGGCATGGGGAGACATATTGGGACCCTATTTTGCACTGGAGGAAAGCAAAACGCAAAGTAGTTTTGCTAGTTTCATATGAGCACATTCCTTATTTTCACTCCAAGCACGCACATTGTCAAAATGACAAATGATTTTGCGTGTGTTTCCCGCTCGTAGGCATGGTGTTTTTTTAAATGAGGGGTGACTGGGTACGTTGTCGGTATGTTGCGATTCAGGCTATTTGACCATTCAACACACATGGTTATTTAAAGACACCAGGTTGAGCAGCGAGCTTCTGTTTTCCAGGTCTTCTGACATCATAATACCGCTTTCGGCACTGAGCTGATGATCTGGTGATGCCAGAAACTGAAGACACGCTTGCTGCTACAGTACCTCATCCCACACCTGCTTCAGTTCAAAAGGCTTAGGTGAAACAATGGTCCTCCCATAAATGATATGCTCGTGCAGTTTCATTTTGCGCTCGATTAGGTCCATTTCCTCTGCCGGAAAACGATCTGTTTTGCCAGATAAACACATCGCTGATGTGCCTCTGCTTTATGATTTACGTTAGATCATCAAAATAGAGCCCTTGCTCTTATCAACTACTCTCCCTCAGTGATGGTGTTACTTATTGGGAAACTAAAATGTTTCCTAACCACTGAGCATGACCGACTATTACCAGCATTAGTCGTAACCAGCTCACAGCACAATTAGCATAATGTGTTGGGCTGCCCATGTCAATAAAAGTATTCATTCATTTCATTGTGCAAACCGAACTGAAAATAACATAAGGAATGATACACAATGAATGCATTTACTGTTACAGCCGGCTCTGGACACCTACAAGCCTGTAT